AACTATGGCCCAACGTTTCGGATGCTTTGCAGCAGCCGTGGTCACGGGGAGACAAAAGATCAAGGGTAGGGATACATATTCTTCTTTAAATAATGTCTGCGAATTGAAGCATTGATGTAATTATGATTCTAATTTGCGCTAAAATAGTTTATACGTTAAAGTAAGTTCGAAAATAAAAACGTTTTTCATCGCTATATCTTATAGTAGTTCTGGAATTGGACATATGATATAAAACTATTCACGGATTAAATAGTTTCACAACCATTGTCCGAATCAGTAATCCCATTACGTGATTGCTTTGAGAATCCCTGGCTCAGACAGTAATCCATTTTTCGTGTATCCTCCCCTGGGGGCACTGTCGCAGTAGGGTGTGGGAATGACGTCATGCTGACTCATTCTCCGATTGATAGCATCCAGGTTGTGCAGGAGTGTTACATAATATTGATTACTTTGAACCACATATAGTGACACGTAAATACAATTACAAATGCCTAACATAAAAAAGTCAAAGTAATTTTGTATTAAAAAAACGATTTCATATTTTTGTATTTATTTGAGGCTATCAAACATCGCAAATAAGAGGATCTATCCTTTCTACCTCTAATTACTTCTGTACAGAATTTTTATAAATTATATAAATAACTAAGCTGTAGAATGAATTTGTTATTGCTTTGTTACTGGTCAATACCTGTCTTAGATGAGGGTATAGCCAGAGTAAGACCCGAAGACTTACGTATATATTTAATTTATTTGGTAAATGTAATGTTTCCTCATGATGTAGCAAAAATAGATATATTCCTTTTGTACTGCTCCTAATTGGGTCCCGATTTAACCTCTATCAAGGCAAGCCTAAAATAACCTGACCTAACCTTTCGTAGTCTAGCTTTACGAAACCCGACGCTCTGTTGACAGTTGCCATGGCAACTGATTGCTTGGTTATGTGTCACCCAAAATCAATCTAAACTTAATTAGCTCTCCCTATTCTGGTGCTAACGTCCAACAAAGAAGTGGAATGTCCGAAAAAGGTTCAATAATGTCAAAAAGACTTCGATCATTTATTTAGGTACTAGCCGTTCTTGCCAGCAGTAGTTTTATCAGATACAAAGCAGTTGTGTGTAGTAATAAAAAAGGGATACTTCTGACGTGCATAATTTTGAAATAGGTCTATAGTTTACAAGTAGTAAATTTAAATAAAAACATTAAAGGTTTAAAACGCGATATATTAGTTAAACTTATTTGAAAATGATTTTTAACTTCGGCCCGACGTTTCAGATGCTTTGCAGCAGCCTGGGTTACGGAGAGTTTTAAACCGTTAAAGTGTTTTATTTAAATATGAATAATTTTGCGAAGCTCTCAAATGCATAATATTTCGTTGTAGCAAGACTCTTTCTCCTAGACATGGACGACCCGACCCAACTGAATTAAAAGATAATGTACTTTAGTAGCTATTGTGAGTAACCAGCAACATTTCTTCATAAGCTTTCCCGCGTGTTTACCCCCATGAGTACCTAGAGTACCGTTTTTTTCTGGCCTATAATCCCTTTGTTGTATTGGGGCATAAAGCCCTTTCTACCCTAAAGATTACAATTATTTAGACTAAAGCTATTGGTTAAGAATATATTTATTATATATTGTCTATTAAGTTTTACATACTAGGTGTAAAATAACACAAGCCTAAAATAAGAATAACACAATTAAGAAAAAATGTTATGTTTAATTCAAATAATTTTAATTATAATTAGACGGAACATATGGCGTTGCAGTTATTGATCAGGGACACCTAATTATATCCCCATGACCACGGTTGCATAGCTTTCGAAATTTAAATGTATAATAGCTATGGAAAATATAGAACATAAATGAATATACATTAATAAAACAAAGTGTCTAAAAATTTTTTTAAGATTAAACCTTTACAAGTGTTTCATTTAAAAGGGGCATCAATTCATTTAGTTGCCAGAGAATTAAATTTATTTTATTGCGATTGTTATAACGTTTTTAGTACACAAAATTGTATCTAGGAGTATGTCGACTCTGTTACATTGCTATATACTGAATAATATATGCATAACTGTAACTTAGACAGGTAGTTGCCAGTCGCAGTTTTTGCAAAGTAACTTAATCGTTTCATTACGTCTTATAAGAATACGGTTTTGACCTTAATACCACTGATTTCATACCCTTAAGTGGTAACTTGAATACCCATTACTTAAGCTGAAATACGAAGCAATATCGACCTTATATAAGAGGAATAAAGTGTTTATTCACTTAGCTTTGATTTTATTCGATATTCTTTGACAAAGTTAAGCGTAAAACTAAATTAAGAGGAAAATAATTGATTTAATTTTAGCCCCAAACTAGACTAATGTATTTGTAGTTTAAACTTGTATAATAGTATTAGTAAAACACTTTAAGGATAATTTTCAAATAAGTTTAACCAATATGTATCGCGTTTTAAAGCGTCAAAGTGTTTTATTTACATGTGTACTGCTCACGTAAACTACAGACAATATTTAGTTGGTACTAATATAAATTGATATAGAGAAATTCGTCCTTTCCCACTGAAACGTCCTTTTCAACTTATTGATACATGCACCTCTCGCGCAATGTAATTTCAACCTTAACACTCCTCTCTTTAATGATTCTGTCACCGTCAAAGAATCCGCCTTTAAAACTCATTCCTCACTAATATCAGAAAAGCTCAATCTCTCCGTTTTACCTTTCCTACTCTTAATTGAATGTTTTACTTTACACTTACCCTCTTAATATGCCTTTTTTTCTTTTGTTTTTTTTTCTTGTCGTTTTGTTGTGTTATAGATAATGAAGCCGTAATAAATATACCTATCAAATATGAGTTATTATAATTCGTTACAAAATATTTAATGTAATGTTTTATCTTACGTGCTGTCACAGGATATGCTGATGAAGTTACCAACTGAAATATAAATGAAGCGGCAATTGCTACATGTTTATTAATTAAAATATATCCTAGTCTCTAATAAATCACTCGGATCAAAGTTCTTGACGTCAACAACATTGACACACATACGTTTTCCTTAATCAACGTTTTAATTAGAAATATTACACGTCTTATTGTAGTAATCATATTTACAATGAAAATGCCGAAGTGGGGCGGGAATTTGACATAATTAAATTATCGTTATTGTTGTTAGCGGCATATATGGTATCGTATCTCGTCTAGGCTTACCAGTCATTCAGACATCTAATGTTATAAGCTGAAGAGTTTGTTTGTTTGAACGCGCTTATCTCAGGAACTACTGTTTCGAATTGAAAGATTATCTTTGTGTTGGATAGACAATTTATCTTTATCATTATTTTTTAGGCTATATAGGAATTATTCGTCTTTAAGAGGTTTCCATCTAACCTAACCTAAAACTGTGTGTGAAGGAATATTTCTTCTTTAAATGATCTTAAAAAAACCGCGACGGCGGGACTCGAACAATGTCATGTACCTATAGTAGCTATAATTTATATAGATGAGGAAAGTTACAAAACCAAAATTTTGACGGCCAAAATAACTATTCTACGCGGATGAAGTTAGTAAATTATCTTTTTCAATCATATAAGAAATAAAAACTTAGTTCTCATTCAAATATGATACAAACGATGATTCAATGACGCCTCCATGTTTACAAGTTATTATTGAGAATTTCCTTAAACTCACAGAATGCTCTCCGGCAAGCCACATAATATTAATTATTATTGCTCCATATAGGTTTTCTGTATAAGACTTATTTTTAATATATTGATATTAATATATAAATAAAAGCTACCAATACTAAGTTACCTCCCTAATCTATAAAGACGTGGATGAGCTCGTCCATGGGATAATGATCCCCCCTAAACTTGACTTAGGGCGGTAAAGTTTATACGTTTAAGGTGGTGACTCCCTGTGGCGCCAAAGCTGTATCCTCCCTTGAAATTAAGTAATATATTTCGCATTTTAAACCTACAAAAGTGTTTTATTTACGTATTTACTAATGTACTGTTAGCAAACGTGGGTTCGTGAAAGACTGTCTAGAATTTTTAAACATTAAATAGGCAGGTTCAATATTGAAATTCCGTAGGGGTCCAAACACCGTCCAGACGGAAAATTCGAGAAGTCTGATTTCCTTGCCTTTAATTGCATTTTGATTAGATGTTACAGAGCTGGGGCGTTTCGCATTCCATCTAGATACTCTAATCTCGTCTTCCCCTTTTGTCTTACACTTATAATAATATAAGTGTATATATTCGATAATTTTTTTTTTCATATTAGGTACTATATGTTAAAGTAGCAGAGCAAGTTACCCTTCTTTACACTTGTTATGGCGTCAGGGCTTTTTTGTCAATGCGAATGTGTTTTTGTTTTGTTACGTGTTAGTATAGCTTTATAGCCGTGATCGTCATACTATTAAAATTAGAAACATAAATTGAATGCTTCTATCCGCGTATACCTTAAATGTAATTCGTACAAGTATATTTTTTTCCTATTCAATATAAACAGAGACTATATAAGAGGATAGAAGTAAAAGTGTGAAAACAAAAAATGTAATTGTTCTACATTCATAATACTGACACCTTAAAAATAATAATGAATCTTTGTACTACTTTTAGGTCAACATGACACTTCGTGTACCACACAAAAAGCATTCCAGCTGGGTGTGTCAGCAATTATTTTAATGGAAGCCATTCCTAAAAATACCGGATGACCCACTCATGCACAAGGGAAACAAAAAACACAACCCTATCCCACAAATAAGTGCGGAATAACGCATAATACCATAAATAGCTAATCTGAATCTTGCCATTTCGGACTGACGTGAAGTTGGCGCGTAAAGATGGCGTCACCGACAGACCAATGGGAGCGCATCGTTCGGACGCTGCGCGGAGGCGCCGCTGCCTTCAAAATACCCCACCGCGCTCGCCGTTTGATCAATCTGCGAGTAGTGCTGTGAGAATCGTGTAGTGTTAAGTAATTTATTTTAAACTATAACAAAATGAGGGAAATCGTGCACATCCAAGCCGGTCAATGCGGTAACCAGATCGGAGCTAAAGTGAGTACTTAGCGACTTCAGCGGTCCCTATCTAAGATATTATATCAATTATAGACCGATAACATAATCCGCCTGACGGATTTTCTCGAAATGTCCATAGATAACCGATTTTAAAACGTATGCTAAAAAGTTGCCTGTTCCTGTTTTGTATACCGCCGTCCTATTTTGACAGTTGCGCAGAATTTTCACGCGACGCACCCCCGAGGTATAGCTGCGCCCATACTGGGTTGCCACCCCTGGCTCGTCATTATATTTCCACTAAATATTTATAGCCTAATAAACTATTGAATACATCTTTTACTATTTTATTAGAGTTTAGCTAAACGTAAAGTGATGCGTGAGAAGCTTATTAAACTCGTACGTAAATTACCACATACATACAATTATGTCATCCCAAAACCGGATTTTTGATAAAACATAGAATTTTCAAATTAAACAGAAGGATTGTTTTTTTTATTAACATTTAAAGAATTAGTTTGTTTATTCTATACCTCTTTTGAAAATTGATAACACAGGCGATATTTTTCTCTTTTACAAAGACCTTGAGCGCCGATTCCATGAGATCTAAAATTCTTTAAAAATTTTGGTCACACAAATAGATACTACTATTTATCCGTTGTTATAAACATGTAAATAATCGACCAGATTTTTGTGTCCTTGTTATCGTTTTCCCGAGAAGCGAACCCAAGGATGATTATCACATTCTGCCTAGATATTTCTTGCTACTTTAATATTTTATTTAGTTAAACTAAACTTAAGTAATTTCTTTAGTTTAATCGAGTACTGCACAGTTTTAACCGTTTCAAATGCGATATATTAAGATATTTTTAATTTAATTTAACTACGGCCTGACGTTTCGGATCAGTTTTTTTACTAAACTTTTTGGTAACGTCAAAGTCAACGATGGACAACTAGGTAATTACGTAGTACTTCCATTGCATGAAAAAAACAAGACATGCATGCATGCAAACGGCTATGTTATGTAGTTTCTTTCGAATTCTGACCAAAATCGAAGATAAATTTCCACCGCGGACACTTTCATGAATAATGTATGTGGTTATTTATAGACATCTTAACTTTTATCGATATAAAGATTTGTTTGATACTTGAAAGTACTAAAACATTGCGATTTATTGAATCAATGCAATGATGGAAGTGGGTCGGCCATCTGGCAATTATGCTGATTAAATTAATTTCCGGGTAAGCCAAGTAGAAGTGACAGCGAGTGCATATTTACGGAGGATCTTTCTATGATAGGTGAAATAGGCCAGCGTATAGCATCTAGACAAGATGTGACACCTATTTTGGGTTTGGATAGAATGATAATAAAAATATATTAAAGGTAAACACAGAATGCACTGTTACTATCTAACAACATAGATAACAGTTATCAGATAGCAAAGGATATGTTTCGCGATAAAGCAATTACCACCAGGAAACCGAAATATTAGCTACGCTGTTAATATACGGTGGACCTATTCGTCAATTTTTATAAGCTGTGCTGCCACAGATTGATACAAACAGTAACTCCTTATAAATCTATAAAACACAGTACACGACTAAGTTCTGCTTGCAACAAAAATCGTCAGTTGGCAACGAGCGATAGTAAATCTCGATAAGCCAGACGAGACCGTTAATGAATGTAAACAGGGCATAATTGCCGACTTTCTTTAAAATGGTGAAAACTATTGTCTGTGCATGAATTACTGATTTTATGCATCGAGTCACGTTTTTTTTCAGATCTGATCTTTGTAATGGGAAATCGATGTCTCATCCGCGTTCTGAAAATAGATAACTTTCTTATCATTATGTATTAGTCTTTATCGTTTGACATATATTTTAAATTAGAAAAAAAAGTTATTAGTATAGTATAATAATAACAGTAATAAGAAAGTCCAAGTAATAGTTAACAGAGTTTAACTATGAATTATTATACGAATTAGCCATTTAAAAATCTACTTTTAGGTAGTGAGTCCGATAACGGAATTGAAATGTATATAGAACTATACTTTATTCGATACATATTTTAATATTTTACCATACTTTTAACAGTTTATAACGCGAAGTGTATTAGTTAAATTTATTAACGTCCGGCGATAAACAAAATAAATTGTAAATTAGTTTAACGATTTAAACCGTTTAAAAATGTTTTATTTAAAAGCTTTTAGACTATTATATTATGTGTTTAGTATAATAGACGTTTGTATTCGCCTCTGTTAAAATAATGTAACGTTCTGTAAGTACGTCCGCGTCTGTCTATTACGTAATCCTTCAAAGAGTAAAAAGTGCAGTCTTATCGCTACATTCCATCACCGTGATTCAGTAGCTGCCATTACAACTTCGATGAGATCAGTCGCATACCGAGTATTCACAGATGCCTGCGAGTTCCATCTCTGCTTTGAAGTGCTTCTCAACTCTCGTAAAAGAATAAATTAAGACTTAAGAGGGACGCTTAAAACTTTATATTCAGTAACTCGCTGAACGCGTGTATTGCTAATAATTACCAGGGCTGGGGGTTCGATGCCCTAAATGTATTTAATCAATTTATCGTTTTTATGAAACATGTTGGACTGGGTGTGGAATTCTGGAAACCAAAGGGTGTAGACGAAATTTCAATTCGGACTAAAAGTGGCTGTAAAGTGTGATCGCGTTGCAGTTTCAGGTATGTTTACTCTAGTTGTTTTGAAACTCGAAGCCAGGACGCTTTGAGCTTAACACAAGACGCCGCGTAGTACAACTCGGTCACATATATAGTCATTATAAGATTTCCTCACTTTTTCCTCATTAGACGCAACTTCACGCACGAAGTGCATTATCCGATGGTGCACGACTGGGGATCGAACCCGTCTTCGGTTCAATCGCCTCGGTATGCAAGTAGGGTGTGCAGATAAAGAGTAAAGTCAAAGAAAGTTTAAACGTGTATTGGTAGTTAAATTAAAATAATGTAGGTTACCAAACTGTTCTTATCTCGAGTAAAAGTACTTTTATCTCTGGTTAACCTCGAAATAACCGAGGTAATTGATAGACGCTTTGTTTATTATCATTGTCACTGGGCTTAATTAATAACAATTTTGCACTTTTGTGAACTTTATACGAAACACTAAATTGAACAACCAAAATGAAGCAAGACTTATGGTTATCGTCTTTTCATGTAAAAGTTCTGTAACTTTTTCTAACGCTAATTGGTAAAAACTCTAAGTGATGAGTTTAAATAAAAACTTTAACGGTTTAAAACGCGATATATATTAGTTAAACTTATTTGAAAGTTATCATATTATAGATATTATAGTCTCCCCGTGACCACGGCTGCTGCAAAGCATCTAAAACGTCGAGCCGTAGTTTAAATAATTTTCAAATAAGTTGAACTATTATATACGCGTTTTAAACCGTTAAAGTGTTTTATTTAAATGTGTACTTCTCGCGTAAACTACAGACAATATCTAGAGATGAGTGCTCTAACAGACGACATAAAAGACAACGCCATAAAATAAAAATTGTGCTTCAGGGTAATAAATATGTCCGTAAAGGCTGTTTTACTTTGCTGAATTACTTTCATTATGCTCAACACATTTTCATTCCGTCCATCAATCAATAAATTTCAGTTCAAAGAAAAACATAAAAGACACGTTTGTGTCAATAATTATATCACGTATGACTAACAATTTGCCCTTGAAAAGTTTATGTAACCTAAGTTTAAGTCAGTCTGATGTCATTGTAACCGAAAATGTATCAAGTCATCAAAACATCGCATTTAAATTGTATTCAGATAAACACTTATAACCTCAAATTGTTAAACTAATGTAAGTTTAATTTTAATACTTCTTGTAGATAGAAATTTTGTCTTAAACAATAGAATGTATACTTAAATCTTTCTAGCTACGAAATTAAAAGCACATTGAAGGCAATTTCACGTTTTTTGTTGCAAGCAGAACACGACTTTTTGTATCATTAACTCTTACTATCAAAGTGTCAGGTAGTAATAAAAACAGGATTTTGCTAGCTAATGGAAGTGGTTACATTATTGCGATGGTATTGTTCGGGTGTGGTCTTCTTATCTTGAGCTTAGAAGCTTTATAAGTAGTATTTAATGTCACATAAAAAAGAAGACCGCGAAAGAAGATATCTAATATTCTTTGTTTTAAAAGTCTCTTTATGCCTTTTGACTTTTGCTCTCTGTGCCTTCCATTAGATTAGCGTTTTTAGATTTATATATATACAAACAGATTATCTGTTATGCTTGATCTATAAAAACAACATTGTAGGTACTTCTTCCTGCGTTGGCTGACATATTTGTTATTTTAACTCGCAGTGACGCGCCCAATTTCCCCAACTGATGATACACCGAAACAATGGTGTTCGCAGCATTTTCCACTCTGCTGACCGCGCGTCCCACTTCCAATAATTTAGCATTTTATCTTATCATAATGCAGAGGCGCAGATTACCGCCGGGCATTGAACCCGGGGTCGTCGCCCGTTGCCATATAAATAGATGTTCTCTCGCCATGCGCAACTTTCTAGCCACTCCGTAGCCCATGCTCAACAATAAGTTGAAACGCTGTAAACGTGAAATTTCAAAATACCAATCCATCCTAGTCCATCTAAGTGAAAAACGAGTATTTCAAGACATTATAAATATTGTTGATGTACGAAAAATCTCTTCGTCGAAATGCATTTTCTGATTACACGAAGGAAACATACATATGCGGTTATGTTTGAGCCATATTGCAAATTCTTAATTATTTTTGCCTGATTTTAATAGTAGTAGTATAGTTTAGTGTTTATTTTTTTCTAACAATTATGTATAATTTTCCAATAGAAAAATATGATCTTTGAAATCCCTTTGAACCATTGTACATACATCCTTCATACACTATATTCGGTGCCTCTGCCATCGAAACCACCGGTAGCTATAAAAGAGAGAAAATCATTTTTATCTTCTTAAATCTTTCACGTGTCGAAGAAGAGTGTTACTGCCCGATTTCCCTTCCTCTGACAACTGGTGCATTGTTCCGTTGGTTCACACGCCATTTTCAACTTTCATCAGCCTTCTCTTATCTAGTTACATGTTGCTTTCACTTTTAAATTATTCTGTCATACATTTCATTTATACCGAAGGGCGCCGCTGGGTCGAATATCCCACGTTGTTTAATGTAAAAATAAAATAAGCACACTAAGGTACATGGTAAAGTTATTAGTTTGAGTCACGGCGCGTCTAGATTATTTTTAATTTGGAATACTGGAAATCATTAACTTATAAATCTTTGAAGGTTGCTAGCGTCTTCACGGAGTTTTAAATCACCTATTTTGTATTTACAAATCGATGTACTTAACTGGTAACTTAAAAAACTTTTAACTTTTTTCACTTAAAAGCACAGTAAAAATGTCAATAATTGCAAAGAAATATCAATAATTTAATGAGCCTAAATTGTAATAACTTCGGACTAGCGTTCGCTGTATAACGAAGGGTATACGCGATTTGGTCTTAATAAACTTGCGTTATTTGTGGTCGATTACTAATAACCCTGAACCGCCGCCATATTAGTCATTTTCTCTTATACGGAGTCAGTTGTTTGCCTTACACACAGACGCCTACGGAGCGCAAGGATGACATCATGCCGATGAATACTAATTCTGCTAAAACCGATCGGGCGTCAGGCACTTTCGTCTACACAACACTCATTATTTCAAGCAACCTTGCATGTTCTTTTGGTAGGCTAAGGGGGTCGGATCTAATACGTATTAGTATCAAAAAAGCTTTACAAAATTACCCAAATTTTATGAGACTTTCTCAAGTAGTTGAAAACGTGTTTAATGTAATTCTCTCGTTTTTCCTATCGACTGAAATACGTATCAGCCATCCAAATAAAAAGCTAGCCAAGTGACTCGCTGACCATATGGCGGCACCGGCATCCAGGCCAGGGATTTTTAAGGGGAATCGAAAAGTGGTGACATTCGAATGCTAATAGGTTCGCTTAAACGACCGGTACAATACGTTCTCTACATATAAGGAGAGATAAACTGAATACGGACGAGCCGTGGGCGTAACCGGTCGCCAAGGCGACAGTACCTCGGAGTCTTACGTAATTCTTTGTGCCTCGGCCTCAACTTATTAACGTGTATTATGCATCCTGTCGCCCATTTGCGAGATGGTTCATTGAGCTTTATTGTTTTCGTGCGTTGACGAACCTAGTTGTAAACGAGGAACATCTAAATAAAAGCGCGTATTCAAACACGAACTCCGAGTAAAAAGACCATTTGAAATTCCACACTCGTAGCGCGTACAGCAAACCGGTTTGAAAGCTGTATCTCCAATGAGCGCATTTACAATCTAAGTACTTTCATGTAGCTCTTCGAAAGCGTCGACACGAATCTCATAGACTAACGGTGTGCCTTTCTTTTGCAGTTCTGGGAGATCATTTCTGACGAACACGGCATCGACCCCACCGGCGCCTACCACGGCGACTCAGACCTACAGTTGGAACGCATCAACGTATACTACAATGAAGCTTCAGGCGGCAAATACGTTCCCCGCGCCATCCTTGTCGACCTCGAGCCCGGTACTATGGACTCGGTTCGCTCTGGACCCTTCGGACAGATCTTCAGACCTGACAACTTTGTTTTTGGACAATCCGGCGCTGGCAACAACTGGGCCAAAGGGCACTATACAGAGGGAGCCGAATTAGTCGACTCAGTCCTTGACGTCGTTCGTAAAGAGTCAGAATCATGCGATTGCCTACAGGGCTTCCAGCTTACACACTCTCTCGGTGGTGGTACCGGTTCTGGTATGGGAACACTCCTTATTTCCAAAATCCGTGAAGAATACCCCGACAGAATAATGAACACTTACTCAGTTGTCCCCTCGCCCAAAGTATCAGACACAGTAGTAGAACCGTACAACGCGACTCTCTCAGTTCACCAGCTCGTAGAGAACACAGACGAAACTTACTGTATTGACAACGAGGCCTTATACGATATCTGTTTCCGCACACTCAAACTGTCTACACCCACCTACGGTGATCTCAACCACTTAGTCTCCCTCACAATGTCCGGTGTCACAACTTGCCTTAGGTTCCCCGGTCAGCTTAACGCTGATCTTCGTAAATTGGCCGTCAACATGGTTCCCTTCCCCCGTCTCCACTTCTTCATGCCCGGTTTCGCCCCTCTCACATCCCGTGGCAGCAGACAATACCGTGCCCTCACAGTTCCCGAGCTCACCCAACAGATGTTCGACGCCAAGAACATGATGGCCGCCTGTGACCCACGTCACGGACGCTACCTCACGGTGGCCGCCATCTTCCGTGGACGTATGTCCATGAAGGAAGTTGACGAACAGATGCTTAACATCCAGAACAAGAACTCGTCATACTTCGTCGAATGGATCCCCAACAACGTGAAGACCGCCGTGTGTGACATCCCACCGCGTGGTCTCAAGATGGCCGCCACCTTCATCGGCAATTCCACCGCCATCCAGGAGCTGTTCAAGCGCATCTCGGAGCAGTTCACGGCTATGTTCAGGCGCAAGGCTTTCTTGCATTGGTACACCGGCGAGGGTATGGACGAGATGGAGTTCACCGAAGCCGAGAGCAACATGAACGATCTCGTCTCCGAATACCAGCAATACCAGGAGGCCACGGCCGATGAGGACGCCGAATTCGACGAGGAACAGGAGCAGGAGATCGAAGACCACTAGACTGTAGGTTGCCAAGCGACGTGCGACTAAATTAATTGCCATTATTACGTTACAATGTGACATTAATGATTCCTATTCAGCGTAATTCGAAAAGACCCGCTTTCTAACTTTTAACAAAACGCACGAGTTTAACAAACGTTTTGACATAAACGAAAGCATTTTGTATTAATCAATACATTCCTTGTTATTCCAGCCTTTCTATCGAAGGCTCGGATTCGCGCCCGCGGGTCTACCGACCGCTTTACCTCTCGTAGAGTTGCGTCCGCCCGCGTTCACTGCAATATAGGCTTCCATTACAGAAGTTTTTGAAAAATGTTATAATTGTGTTCAACAATAATTTAATGTATATAATAAAGATTTTTATTTATCGTTTGTCTTTCTACTATCACGTTTTCGTGATTCAAACTCATAATGCAACATTAACTATTCTGATAAAAGATAAGAGTCATAATATTATTCAAAGCGTATCATATCTTTGGTATCTATCGCTATCGATCTTTAAACAACATACGACAGAGGAAATAATAAAAGGACATTCCTAGTTTTATTTGTGCACAAATATTTCCATATATGGGCATGTGTGCCTCAATAACTTGTTACCTGTTATATGACAATAGTGCACTTAGTACTTGTTGTAAGCAAGGTCTCACGATAACAAACAGGTTTTCACGACTTGCAAGATACGAGTATCTTGTAATTATTTCAAAAGGTATGTCATAAAAAAATTACGTATTTTGTTATCATGACATGATAGTTTTCTTGGCATTTATTTAATAAAAATATTTTTTCTAAAAACACAGTTAATTATTTGTTTACCTTTAAAATAGTTCTATGAATATTCAATCTGTTTGCTTTTGAGTATTATCTGTAGTTTGAGCAAGTAATAGACATTTAGATAAAACAATTTAACTGTTTAAAACGAAGCGTATATAAAGTAATTTGCCGAAAATGTAAATTAATAGTCTGTAGTTTACGCGACTAGTACACATTTAAATAAAACACTCCAACCGAGGAGACTGTCTCCCACTGGCCACTGTTAAACATTCGAAACGTCGGGCCGTAGTTAAAATATGTTTTAAACCGTTAAACTGTTTTATTTAAAATTTTAAGTTATATTTACTTCAATGAAAGCAGCATAATATTGACATCATTCAACCTCGGCCCTATTTATAGAAATGCAGTAACCGTCCATTTATACGAGGCCTCTCCGTTTCCCGTTATAAAACGAAAATTGACACTTATCGCGAATTAAACGGGAGGTGAGATGGTTCAATTAGAATCGGTCGGATGTATGATGTCATCGCTATATGGACGCCGTGTGTCATAACAAACGAGTTTGGTACTTGGAAATGTAGCGACAATTAAGTAAACAAAAGGTGCCTAGAAACATTGATTTAATAATACCTAAATTAGATAATACAACAAGAAAAATGTGATAAAAGAGATACGATCAATTTTAACCAGTAATACTGAGTAGTAATCAAAAATTTTTTTTACTATAAATAAAGAGAAAAAAAAAAAATACTTCTCGGGTTTTAAACCATTGAAAGTGTTTTATTTACATGTGTGCTACAGAAAACAATTCATTTTCTGGTTGTATATGCATCAAATAGCTACATCGGTACAAAATTGTACGAAATTCAGTCAAGCCATTTCCGCGACGTTAACGTATTACAATACACACATTCTCATAAGCATCCACGTCGTTTTGCGTGTAATAATTATTATAACCTGAAAGTGTTTTCACAAAATCAAATTCGCAAAAACAATTGTGAATTTTCGTGTTACTTTAGACCGCTGACTTTTAATGCTTGACAAGGACGTCTACCGTTTAGCGTCTATTGAAGTCACGAGTTCGATGTAAGTACGTGATAAAGAAACGATATTCTAGACTAATAGAGTAATATACTAAGCTAAAATTATCTATGCGAAAACATAGATGATTTCTAAGACAAATAACACACCTACGAATGTTTATCCTATAAAAGACTTCATTAAAATGGCAGTAAACGATTACTAAAGATGATTTATTAAAACCATGATTTAAGTACTGGTCAAATCGTGTTTCCCTTTGTAGGGCCATTTCTGGTTAAACTGCAGGTAAGGAATCAGCCTTCTGTACCCTTCTCGACCGAAACCACCGATTGTTTCCACAAGATTTGAAGCGAAAAGCGCTTAACGCAATGCTACAAGTCTGGACAAGACACTTCGCCCGCGTCGTTCTCATTAGTCCAATAGCAATGGATGGAAATTTGGTTACTAAAGGGGTGGTAGGAAAATCAAATTTTAATCGTAAAAAAACCGTGTTTTAATCGCGTTTCGGTTTCAGTCTGTGGATTTTGTAATTTAAAGTTGAACCTCATGTTTGTCTATTATCCTCTGTCATAGAGGTTAACTATTGAGGGTAGAACAAAAAGGAATTTAGTAACTATAGTAAGTATAATAGTATTCACAATAACTAAAATTATAGTTACTATTTTAATGAATTATTAAATAATACTGTTATTCCGATCTTAAAATGATTACGAGGCGCAGTCTATGTGTAATCTTTCTGAATGACTATTCAGTGTAAAATGGATGCACAGTAGAATATGACACACTAAAATAGTATATACGCTCATACACGAAGTTATAGTTAACCCTACGGCAAAGCCCAACGGTCGCGGTTGTGCGGCGGCCGCATAATTATTAACTATTAACTTATCTTATTGCAACTGACAGGACGGCAGAAATAAACCGCTTGGTGTATAGGCCCTAAGCTGTTTTCTATATAGTCCGTTCCTACTAAATTAGATTAGTAGAAAATGTAAACAAACATTAATTACCTGAATTACCACCATAGCAGTACAATTGTCGTCCTATTACACATTATCCACTTGCTACCAGTTACCACTATTCAACTACACATTAAATAATATCACAATTTGTCGGTAATTTTAGAATTTTACTAGAGCTTTCAAAAATAGCTGTCATTGTCATATTTCCATCGACATTATCTGTGGAAAGACAGTGTTGTACTTATATAATCACTTTCTATTGAATGTTTCGTGAAAATAAATAATCGATATTATATTATGTATTCAGAAAGAATTGAAGGCCGGTTTTTATAGACTATATGGAATATAATAAAAAGAGTATTACAGGTAATGAAAGAAACCCGGTCGGTAAGTATGGAAAGTGGACCATTTATATTTTCGTTAAGGTGTTCGAATATCTCGAAAAACAATGGTAGTGCATAGAGATTTTGTTAAAAAAAAATACAACCGTGATGATGGGAAGTATGTATTGACAAAATATTTAAGAATCGAAAACCAATAAAATCGTTATTTTTATGTCATATACATCACTCTATAAATGGTGAGTGTATCAAATTACGACTATGATAATATATACTAAACCATTAAAAGAGATAATGTAATTATTAAGTGATTATAGTGAGTTGAAAGTTTTAACTAGAGTGTATAGATTTTATGCTGTTGATCTCCGGTTTGAGATGTATCTGTGCTATTCGCCAGATACATCTCAAATTATTTTAGGCTTATTTTATTTTAATTATTATTTAACTTTATTAGTTTCGTGTTTAATTTCATTATTCAGGATTAACGTAGCCGTCTATTGCACTCGTTAATAGTTAAAACACAATCAAGGACACAAAAGGGTTGTAATATCCCCTTTAAATAGTAGAGGTATACCTACTGGTGACACAATTAGTACTGGGGGTCATTGATCGTTGAATTAATTTGAACAGCTGATCAGTAATACACTGACACGGTCCTAGCAGCTAGCTTTGTCTGGTTTTATGTGACATGTTGTGAAATCCCGTTTGTCCCTCGTGGGGCGTGGGGCGAACACATTTTTGTGTCCGTTTCAATGATCCGTTCTTTTTAACAGGCAAATAGTTGATCAGACTTCTGTGCCCTACCCGACCGGAACAACTTTTTTTTGTTCCCCCGGGATTTGAACCTAGGACCTCTCGCGCATAACGCAATGCTAGGCAATACTTATAACCATTTGACTACAGAGGCGGTTTATGTGACATACACCGTATTAATTGGAAGCAGACATCTAATTTAGGCTTTTTTATTTTTATAAAAATTCTAATTTTAGCTTGAATAAAAAGAGCCGCATGCTATTCTGTCCTAAAGCAAAATTACGTTTAAGAATATATTTGGTGTGCATTGTCTGTAGTTTACGCGAGTAGTACACAGTCCGTAGTTAAAATAAATTAAACATAACTAAATTTATACATTCCACTTTAATCCCTTAAAAGCGTTATATTTAAATATATTCGGTATTTAATACTAACTAAATATGCTTATTTGCTTTCTTGCGCGGATCATCTAAAATGCAATAATCTTATGAACATTTCGACACATAGGTAAGTACAAACAACAACGGCCGTTGTCAAGCGCTGAAATCAGTGAGTCAATTCACAATACTACAATACATACTATTTTAAGATCTGTTTTTTCAAAAATTAATTTACCCATGTAGGTATGAGCTGAATTAAAAATTGTGCTGGATGTACACGTTTAAAGCCGATCTAGACACAATAAACGTGAATAAAGCAAAATGATTGATGTTTTAAGAAAGTTCACTTAGTCATCGATTTGCGAAATCGTGTTTAATATAATTGTTGAAACACGGCCGGATTATGAACGACAGGTTTCGCGACAACATTGTTTTAGATTGCTTACATTGCTACTTGTTTTTGAATATATTAAACAATATGGTCATATTTATGTTATTATACTTTGTATATTAAAAGGGAACATGAAACATGTTTAAATGGATATTTAGACGTAAAAAAATTCGTCAACAAAACACTTTACAAGAGATTCTCAATCCCTTTATTCAATACGTAAAGAAATAATCTCCAAAGTGGAGTAGCACTTATATTTATGTACTAACATGAATAGGACCCGTATGCGATTTAATAGTCAAACGGATTGTAAAATATTTTGTTATGTGCGAAAGGCCTTGATTTCGAATCACGTGGAAACCTTTTTATTCCTGGCAGAACCAATAAATAAAATGGATCAAGATATTAGAAATAAGTAGGTATGTCCTATGATATTTGAGTAAAAGAACGTGTTTGCTTACATTCTTTTTGACTTCATAAGTTTGGAATGAATCAAATACCTTTTTTTAAAATAACTATTAGATGATACTAAAAAGAGTTTTTGGTCGTGGTAGATCTCGTCTTAGCAATTCCAAAGATATTAGAATTACGATTTTGTACAAAATTTCTACCGCGTTGTCTGTGATAAACATGGAAAGATAATTTTTCTTATGCAGCAATGTATAGCGCAGAATATGAAAATATTGCCAGACAGTTAAACACAAATGGCGTCAATCGAGTTGCGGTGAAATCGAACAGATGGTCGCGAGTCGACCAAAGAACATGAGATAGCCTTATATGTAATTGATTTTAAATTTTGCAACTCCCGTTACGATTTACAACAAAAATTGGGATGGCACAAAATTACAATGGCCTCTTCACGATTACCAGTTTTTTAAGGCAACGTTGTATTGTTTAAAACAAAATTGGTAAACGAGGTCAATAAAAAACTTAAATGTTACGTAATTTTAATAATTAATTAAAGGTATTAACTTGTATTATATCTCTTAAAATTCTTGTATCATTATTGTATTTTTACTTTATGTGTTCAATTAATTGCTAAATAAAAAGGCATAGTCAGATTTTATTTTTTAACGATTTATAAAACCCCACCCTTTTATAAAATACGCTGGAAGGGGTCATAACGGACAGAGGGGTGCGGAGAGCCCTAGTTATGCCGGCCGGCGACCGGTATGAAGTACCAACATAACGCAACAACGCACCTGTATACATTTCTTTAAAGAAAATATTATATGGGCACTTTGGGAATGATTTGTAATAATATTTTTACATATCACACAAACATTTATTAGATTGGTATAATTATTTTGTGGTGTTTTGTTACTTATAATATAAAAAAGAATCAAATCGATCTCTTGCGGCTATGTTGGCAATCTTGTTTCACAGCGACGCAGGCGGAGTTGAGAAACAAATAGTGATTGAAAATTTATTATCGATATCGATGTGAAGATAGACATAAATTAATTGAAAAGTTTCAGCTTCAATAAAGTATGAATTACTACTTATGAGCCCTTGTCTCTCTACACAAATAATCTATTGAATTACTGTTATCGAAAGAAAGAAATAATGTCATTCTTTCTTTCGATAACAATTAAGGATTCTTTACCTTTTTTAGATTGGTTTGAACGAACAATAGTCGATTTATATTTTTTCAAACAATATATTTACTCAACAACAATACAAAGTCATAACAGTATCTAACAAATTATAAATTGAAAAATCATTTGAAATCGCCCCTGGAGAGATCCAGTTATCAGGGTTAAAGTGGGAATAAATACTAAAAAAATAATAGAACAAAATCTATTACGCATTTAGAACTTAAAAAAAAATTGGGCACAGTATAGCTAAAAATTACTTTTAATATTGTACGTTCTCATGCCTCTCAAATAAAACTTAACGTGAGTAATATTGGATTCTGCACTCTATGACGCATTGCGACAAAACTTATCGATATTTAAATGCGCCGCGCACATCACTGGCCGGCATGTTGCTTTCGTGGCTCGCGGAATACGGAACATTATTCTTCAAGCAACCACGAAAGTACGTGGTGCGTGCGGAGCAGTTTTGTTTAGTGTTAAGTAATTCTAATACATAGTTCAAAAATATGAGGGAAATCGTGCATATCCAAGCTGGTCAGTGCGGCAACCAAATCGGAGCCAAGGTAAGGAACCACTGTCTTTTTTGAATATGGAATGTCTGGGAATGCGGCCGGCATTTTGTGACGCCATAGCTTGATTCAGATCAACTCGAAGGAGATTTCTCTTATATTTACACACGGTTGATCTTTTTCCTTTCATATTTCGCTGTAAAACATTTAATTATGATAAATAAGTTACAGGTTTTCCATGGGGGTGTAATCTTAAAAAACCACACCTAGTTTCTATTGATTCACACAATGGCACGTAACACGTGTTATATTACGATTTGCCGGCCGCATTCGATACAATTTACGTAGCGTATAAATATTTTTGAACTTTCTCACCACCTTACAAAGCATGCCCAGTCATACAGCCTTCATAATTATGGTTTTGCTATAATACCAGATGACTTATACCTAATCGTCATCTACAGAACTTTTGAAACAGACAACAACTGAATGGTAACATATTAATTTTTTTACACTAATCTTCTCTAAATGCTATCCGCAGCTGTTGGTTATTTCCCGCCTTTAAAAAAACCGTTATTAATAATAATAGGCGAGCCGTTACGACCCAAGGTTAGCGTCCTGATAAAGGGCGACCAATGAAATCGCGTCAGCATTAGACCCGCGTTTAAGTTTCGAAAATCGAACGTTGCTATTAGTTTATAATGTTACATCAAGTTTTGACTACATCTTCTTAACCTTTATGCATTTGAACGTTAAAGTTAATTATAATAATTTATAAAGTGTTAGTTAGTTAACTGATCAATTTTAGACTCTTACATTAACTTAACATGTTAACTTATAATTAGGAGCTACTTTAATCAGGTTGTTTAAGGTCTCTCCTGTTGTCTACCATTTTCTATCTTTTTATATTCTCCTCCACCATCTATTGAAGGATGTTTTGCCCTTCATATTTAAGATGGCTAAATTCCTTATTATACATACAGTATATTTCGACAGAGATCCCAAAAATCGATCGAAAAATGGTGTCAGGAAGTTCGCGCATGCTCGAACATTCACCCCGAAACGGGCTAAAATAGCTCGAAACTATGTGTTTATGAAAGCTTTCATCTTTCACTGACAGTAAAAGCCCATTCTTTATGGTTCCGGGTATTACGAAATGTCCATATATATTTTTAGTCTGTTTAAAAGAACACATTAAACTGCTCTCTTTATTTCAATGTTCTCAGTTTAAGATAATAGGATATCTTTTACTTATTTTTATAGACTACTAGGCATTAAGAGGTTTTCATTATAGTGATTAGGTTTACTTATGCCACAATTATGATATTACTAACACTATAATTTTGAATTCATCCCAATTTGTAATTTGAGTGTCATATGTTTGTATGATATTATTTAGTTTTTATTTGCAATTCACAAAATAGTATAAAGTTAACAATCCTTTAAACCTTTGAAGAATGTTTATTGACAGGAATCTTTCGTACTTGAATGCAATTTAAATTCCACTCGGCAGTCTACGAATGCCAATAGCTTTGTATAGTAATCTCACGTACGACATACGTCAAACGGCCAATATGCTTCACCTTTTGCGTTACTGTGAACATCGTACAAATTGTTGGTCTTATTAATTTGACTACAAAAACCCTAATAATTTAGATAGGTATGGGTTACATTCCGTTGTTGCTATATGTTGCTGCTCTCCATCTTCTAATTAATCACTTAGAGATACATATATCTGCAGAGGTAGATGAGTAATTTTAATCATGCACTGAACTTTTCTCACACTGCTTTCTGCAATTAAGTCTTAATCTCAATTACGGAGATAAAAATCAGAAAATGTCTGAGCCGTAATCATGTGATCTAGATTAGTTCAACAAATGGGTAGCCAACGCCTTACTCGCGCGATTTATCGACACCAGTTTTAGATACTTCTCCTTTAAAGTGTTTTATGTCATTAATATTCAAGTAGGTTAAACAAACTAACATACTTTAGACTGAAGTAACAGTTAAGACCTATTTACGATTGCACAACACGAAAAACTAAAGTAGTTTAGGTAAAGTGGGCCGAGCACGAAAAGGCTCTCAAATTTAGGGTGTCATCTCATGTAAGCCACCCAGTTTTAGGATTAAGGGCCCGAGTCGTAGCAAGTCACGGCTGGTACACCCTCCGTTTTGCGCAAATAACACGGCTCACGAGAGTGTTTCTTTCTTTACAGTTCTGGGAGATTATCTCCGACGAGCACGGCATCGACCCCACTGGTGCCTACCACGGCGATTCAGACTTGCAACTAGAACGCATCAATGTATACTACAATGAGGCTTCCGGTGGCAAGTATGTTCCCCGCGCCATCCTCGTCGACCTCGAGCCTGGCACCATGGATTCTGTCCGTTCTGGACCTTTCGGACAGATTTTCAGACCTGACAACTTTGTATTCGGACAATCCGGCGCCGGCAACAACTGGGCCAAGGGACACTACACGGAAGGCGCAGAGCTCGTAGATTCAGTTTTAGATGTAGTACGTAAAGAAGCAGAGTCTTGCGACTGTCTTCAAGGTTTCCAACTCACACATTCCCTCGGCGGCGGTACCGGATCAGGCATGGGCACACTACTCATCTCCAAAATCAGAGAAGAATACCCCGACAGAATCATGAACACATACTCAGTTGTACCCTCGCCCAAAGTATCAGACACAGTAGTAGAACCTTACAATGCCACATTATCAGTCCACCAGTTGGTAGAAAACACAGATGAGACCTACTGCATTGACAACGAAGCTCTGTATGATATCTGCTTCCGCACGCTCAAACTGTCCACACCCACGTACGGCGACCTCAACCACCTGGTGTCGCTCACCATGTCCGGCGTCACCACCTGCCTTAGGTTCCCCGGTCAGCTAAATGCGGATCTCCGCAAGCTGGCTGTGAACATGGTGCCGTTCCCTCGTCTCCACTTCTTCATGCCTGGGTTCGCGCCTCTCACATCCCGCGGCAGCCAACAGTACCGTGCCCTCACCGTTCCTGAACTCACCCAACAGATGTTCGACGCCAAGAACATGATGGCCGCCTGTGACCCACGTCACGGACGCTACCTCACGGTGGCCGCCATCTTCCGTGGACGTATGTCCATGAAGGAAGTTGACGAACAGATGCTTAACATCCAGAACAAGAACTCGTCATACTTCGTCGAATGGATCCCCAACAACGTGAAGACCGCCGTGTGTGACATCCCACCGCGTGGTCTCAAGATGGCCGCCACCTTCATCGGCAACTCGACCGCTATCCAGGAGCTGTTCAAGCGCATCTCGGAGCAGTTCACGGCTATGTTCAGGCGCAAGGCTTTCTTGCATTGGTACACCGGCGAGGGTATGGACGAGATGGAGTTCACCGAAGCCGAGAGCAACATGAACGATCTCGTCTCCGAATACCAGCAATACCAGGAGGCGACGGCCGACGAGGATGCCGAATTCGACGAGGAACAGGAGCAGGAGATCGAGGAGAACTAAATCCACACAGCCCACTCTTCACACTCACCGCCCGCCCTGTCTAACGCGTTCTTAATAATTTGCTTCTGTATAGGTTCCGAACGGTGTTGCGTTGCGGTAGCATAACATTCCCAGTGTTCCGAAGGGGCTCAGCACATGTTTACGACTGTAAACGACTCTTGACGATCCCTTCTCGACCCTCTGGTGCTCGCACTGATGACACAAAAGTAAGATCTTTTGTTTGATAAGGCTGAACTTTGATTTTATTTCTAAGTTAATTTTTTTAATCTTGTAACCGGTGTGATTGAGTTTATGTCGGCTTTCGTTAATGAAAGGCTAAATAATTATTACTGTCGTACAATTTTTCGATATTGATCAAGATTTTTAATTGTAATATTCCAACTGGTAAATAATAAATAACATCATTTTACCATTTCGTTTTATTCCACCATACAGGCCGACGACTTCAATCGTAAAATTTATATATCCTAGTCGATCTTATTGTAATAAATAAATAGTATCGTAAATACGGTACTATTTTCTTCCCATACTACAGAACCTACTACTAGAGCAATGTAGTCTTTTGATTGTTATATACTAAAAGTAAGATATAGATCTAAGACACTAACTTTTTGTCACCATCAGTCAATAGATCGGGCTGTGGAATAAAATGTTGCGCCTGCAATATATATTTAGCAATTCTGCACCAAAACAAAAAAAATATTCGGTAAACGATATTGATTACACATAAGGTAACATTCTCATTTAGGAATAAATAACATGTTATATTAATAGTAGGACTACTACTGACTTCCACGAAAGACTAGGGTCCCAAAGTATTATGGTATGGCCTGGCGAGGGATCATTATTAGCTCATAAGCATGTACAAGTCGTTACCATACTATGATGGGTCTTGAATTGATGAGGTTATTGTTGAACGCCATACGCTTCTCGCTGTAGTGTCAATACAATTTAAGAACAAAAATCACGATTTATTTACTACAGCCTCCTTACCAGAACAAAAGAAAAAAAACAAGCAACAAACTCGCCCCAATTTTCTTGCTCGCTATTTAAATAGACATTAGGTACTACCGGCCGTGATCTTATAATATGGATTCTTGTTTTATAATTTGAATGTAACCGTTTATTTACTTTATTACTTACCAGGAGCAGATATCTATTAAGGATGCCACCACAATTTTGAGTGATGGTTTTTGTGCTTGCCGATGGTAATCCCCACCCCCCCCCCAACGATTCGTTGGTGTGGTAGACAGCTAACAGAACGCTGACGTAGTCAACAGCACAGAACGCTGACGATGTCGGTTCAACTCCTGCCCGAGTCGAAAATTTTTTCTAATTATTTTCGATTTTTAAATTAAACTCACATTAACTACCTTTGTTTTGAGATTATAATAGGTGTACAAACAGAATGAGTTTTTTTTTGTATACTAGCTGTGTCAGCGAATTCGTCCGTATGGAATAGTTATTTTGGGTTGGCGCGGACAGATTTTTACAAAATTTCAAGAGCAATGATTCTTTCCTACATATTTTTTGGGTATTCTGAACTGCTTTCGCAGCGTACGCAACGAAAACCCACAAGGATGAATAATTAATTTATTAGATTATTGGATTACTTTTGGGTGTGGATTAAAGGCTTCAGCTACCACAAGCCTCGACGGCAAAAAAATCTTCATCTTGAATGAATAGTTCAGACAACACCATTTACAACCCCTTTGGACCAGTGTTTTATTTTCAGACAATTATGAATGCGAATTAAATTAAATATATAAAACTAATCCTCGCTTAATTAGGAAACGTAACTCGAGGAAGATAAAAAGGTTCTTTATAACTTAATTTATAGAAGCATAAAGGTGAAAGCAATAAACAATATCTGGGATTTCTATATCATAGGTCTCATAAAAGTAGCTCACGTTAAATCACCCACATTCTAGTCTTTCTTGGTCATAGGACGAAATAAGCCCATTTAACTGCAATGCAGAACCCAGATCGCAAAGAATAATAATAGCTTTTAATTTATTGGACACCAAAATATAATAATTATCATATAAGTCAGTGCAATAAATACATTATTTATATCATTGATAATTTTAAGTATCTTGGAGATATGTTCGACATACAGTAGCCTAAGTCAAAAATCAACATATTTTCTTTCCTGTAACTTTGGACGCAAATGTCTATTTAGTTTGCTTTGGTAAGATGCATTTCACTGCTGCAACGAATATTCGGTTACTATTCGGTTTTCGGCCCTTTCGGCTGCTTTTTTTTTTTTCGGCCGGAAACCGAATATCCACATTTTTTTCCGCCGAAGAACAACCACCCCAATAATTTTTTTTTTTATAGAGAAATTTTTTGTAAAAAAAAAAAAAAAAATCTTGGGTGCCTGTGTTCTCTCCTTTTTTTTTTTTTTTTTTTTTCCACACATATGGGGGGGGGGGGGTGCTTGGGGGGGCCCCCCCCCGGGGGGAAAAATTCTCCCCCCGGGGGGGGGGCCCCAAACCCCCCTCCGGGGGTTTCCCCCCCCCCCCCCCCGGGGTTTCCCCCCCCCCCCCCCCCCCCCCTCTTTTTTTGGGGGGGGGGGCTTTTTTTTTCTTTTCCCCGGGGGGCCGGGGGGGGGGGGGGGGTGGGGGGGGGGTGGTTTGGGTCCCCCCCCCCCATGCTTTTTTTGGGGGGGGGGGGGGGCCCCCTTTGTGCCCCCCCCCCCCCCCCCCCCCCCGGGGGGGGGGGCCCCCCCCCCCCCGGGGGGGCGGGGGGGGCCCCCCCCCCCCCCCCCCCCCCCCCCCCCCCCCCCCCCCCCCCCCCCCCCCCCCCCCCCCCCCCTCCCCCCCCCCCTCTTTTTTCCTCCCCCCCCTTCGGGGGGGTTGGTGGGGGTTTTTTTTTTTTTTTTTTTTTTTTTTTTTTTTTTTTTTTTTTTTTTTTTTTTTTTTTTTTTTTTTTTTTTTTTTTTTTTTGATTATCACTAATCCAGGATTACTTCCGATGTAATAATATATAGTAAATAAACAAACGAGCTTTGCTTAACATATATTAATTAAAAGGCTACAAAATAGTTTAGGCGTTGCTCTGAATCCAGCCGGTGAATCTGGAGACCAGGGCGTTTACACCAGGGTATCTAGGGTGGGCGCACTCGCGGTGTCCCCAGGAACAGACACCTACAACAGCGTTGTTGTGTAGAAGGGGACCACCGGAGTCACCGCCACATTGGTCACGACCTCCTTGGTCGAGGATACCAACGCACAGCATGGTGTCGGTGACCTGGGTGTTAATTTCACGGTAACGGTTCCTGCAGGTTACCAAGTTGACGGTATATAGCTGAACTTCACGGAGCTGGTTGGATGAAGGGCCGTTCCACTGCAAAACAACAGCTTATTTATCCGGGGCAAAATGGTTATCATGATGTCGATTGCTCGAATGTTTAATAGCGCTTCTCGTATGCAGAGACTATGCTAGACCATCTAACTATAAGAGAGTCCATGTTGGTTTAATTTTATGAAAAAAGTAAAACTCTTTTCAGTAGTATTAATTATATAACACAATTTGAGAGAAATTCTGACAACACAAAAGACTTCTCAGGGCTTTCTCTCCACATCGATAACCACCACCACCACAAAGTAAATATGACTCACAGCGATCCTTCCCCACCCAATGGCCCAGACGGGAGCGTTGTCGGGAAGCCAGTAGTTGGCGCTGGCGATGGAAGCGCGAGCCACATTGGCGTTGAAGTTAAATGCAGAGTTGGAGCGAACTACGGCTACGTCGTTGTCGGTGATGGCATGGTTGTATTGTGGGTGCATGATGATTCTGTTGATATTGTGGACGACACCACCGCTGTTCGCATAGGTTGAACCGATTCTTATACGCCATTGTCTTGCGGTGTCTCTGCTATAAAAGACAGCACTATTTAGAAGATCTTGTGGAACATTTCTGTCCTAATGCAGTTGCAGCAGTAACTTTACTAAAACTTTCTAGAAATTCGGACTAAAGTCAGAATGCTTTATTTTAAAAGTTGTTTCAATTTTTTCTAGCAATAAATTATATAATAATAATCGAGGTAAATGATTTTTTTGTTTTAACAGTTAATGACAAATATTTTTATGACCTCTAAAGGAAGAAATCCTCGTTACGACCTAAAGTAAACTACAAATAATTTTCTTTCGCTTTTCGCTCGATGAAGTTACTATTTTATTAAAACACTTTAACCGTTTAAAACGCGAATTGTATAATACGGCCCGACGTTTCGGATGCTTTGCAGCAATCGTGGTCACCGGAAGACCGTTAAGTTACGCGTTCTAGAACGGTAAAGTGTTATTTAAATTTGTACAAGTCGCGTAAACTAGTTACTTCTGAACTACTTACTAAAAGCAGTGCGCAGCTGAGAGAACTGATCTGTTGTTGATGATGCTGCCACCACAGTTTTGCGTGAAAGTTCCTGAACCACTTCGGGAGTATAACATGGCCGCCGCATATGGGTACTTGCCGATGTTGGTCACTACACCACCGACAATCCGCTGGTATCCACCTCGAGGCTGTAAAGCTGTTAAAGGTACTTTATTTATTACGAAAAGATTACTTTTGTTTTATTCGTATTCGATATTTTATCCGCTATTAAAAATGACGTTTTATTTTAAACTTTATAATAACTGAAGAAAATCATTGAAGATGAAATACAAAGTTGGTCGGCACACGATGGCACTATAGAAACTATAAAACTAATTGAATATATTTCGCTTCTACTAAACTCGTTCAACGCAAACCTCATTTAAGAAAATTGGCACTGGTCACCACCAGTGGTGGAGGTTCAATAATAAAAAAAAATGATTCTGTCATGTTTAGGCGTAGTTATAGAGGATGTATATCACCGTTTAATGTTCACATGGCGACTTATTTTTTCTTTTATAATGTCTATGAAACATATAATAGATTCTTGTTTTTTGATAGTAACGTTCCAACAAAATATTTATAAGCTAATAATGAAAATCACGTTCATTTTTTTATAATAAGATATACATAATGCATTCAACTAACCTGATACCGCAGCCAAAGTGAGGCTCAACAACAAAGGAAGCTTCATCTTGAGTAAACAATTTGCAGGAAATCAGTCGCAACCCGTTTATATAGGTGTATTTTGTGAAATTTTTGTCAATTAATGCATTAATACCCACCAATAAAATTTGTGTAAAATCGATAAGACAAATCCCGCCTTAGACATCGGGGCTGTGGAGAAAAGGTTCTGCACATTTATGTGTGATAGCATAGTGTGTGCAATATATATAACTGATCATAATATGTACAAAGACATACCGACAAGTGTGGTTTTGATAATTACTTAAGTTCTTCATTTGGTGTGTAGTAAAATACATTGTCAAAAAGTAGGTATTTAGACTGTGTGAAATATTTTTAAGGTACCTTATAAATGTGATTAGAACTTCATTGAACGAAAGAGTTAATTTAGTGTACAATAACTTAATACTTAGTAAAAGTTGGTTGCAAAGCGGGCCATACTTAAAATATTCTTAAGAATGAAAAAAAATATGATTAAATTAAGATTTAGACTTGGAAGAGTGAACCGTATATAATTTCAAATACTCTTGTCGTCGGATGTACATACAATACATTGAAGTACACGTAGTAGATGCCCAAAAATTAAACTAATTAATAACGTCCTTGTAACTAACTTGGGGAACCCTAATTCTAACGAAAATAATATTTTATTTCCCCGTCAACTTCGTTTATCACATAATTCATAGTAGTAGATTACGAGCAATAAATAATTACTTTATCGATTATTTAACAAACAGTTGTGATACCTCATGCAACCATTAAGGAATTAGGAAATACCCAAAGGATAACCCCCTTAAGATGCACCTGCATCTTTTTCCTGATCGCACCTCTTCTATTCTCTGTCAAGTGGTTCAGATAGACACAGAAGTGTGTCTGCCCAATGCTATTCGCTAAGATTTAGAGTGTAGAAGTAAGTACTTAAGATTTGCTGGAGCTTCCTATGTGAGTTTTGATTAATTTTGTTTCCGATTTTCAACCATCTTTAGACTTTTAGCTAAAATTGTTTTTATACCTCTTCAACTGAGTCTAGGCTTCCCACATACATATTTATGTATAAGTTATAACCTAGATTCTCTGCATTGGCTGACACAGACCATAACGTGTCAATGATACTTGGTTTAAAATAAGGTCAAGATAACTTCACAAACAAATAAAGCAAGTTAATATGGATCAAGTATGACAGCTCATAACTTTAAAAGTCTGAATGTAAAGATATATGACTAGTTTTAAAATAAATGTTTAATTATTGTGGATATTCATTTAGTACAAGATCCTTTTTTTGGGTTCTCTTTAGAATTCTGTTTTTCTTAAGGTATCAAGCGGATCTCTTAAGTTTTACCATTCGTAGATAGACATGCGAAGTGCTACGCATATGCAAATGAAGACATTTGCATTCTTTGTCTTCCGACGCTTCCTTCAATAACGGTACAGCATATTTAAGTATGCGTTCACATGTTTCAATTTAAACATTTATCTAACTCGGGATATTATGTGTATTACAGGTTTTTATTTTCACTTTTGGTTTTAGAAAGGTTACCTCTAAAACCAATGAGATTGGTCGATTTATTAGGGAATTAAAGAAATAAATACTAATACTTAAATTTACGCTCTCATTTCATTCTAATCTTAAGAAAAATCATTAACTTAACTAACAATCTTTACTTGTTTAATCTTCTTTTAAATGTGCTTAACATATTATATGTTTGAATTTGCTATTTTAGCAACACATTTACGATAATAGAGGGCTCCCTTCAAGTACTATTAATAAAATACGAACTTTTTATGTTCGACCTTATTGTGTAGTACTACACACTACACGTAGGGAAATAAAAGTTATTAAAATACTTTTACTCAATTATTTAAATTAACATCTCTCCTTGACCTAGTATGGACTTCTAAATACACTATAGCTCTTGTTTCTCTTCCAGCACTTCGTTTTCCTTGCTGAAAATTCGTTCTATAGCCTCCTGTAAACCAAACTGGCACTCCTTTATATGATCGGACACAATTTCGACTGTCTCATCACTAATCCGATCGGCGCTTCTCAAAATGTTGACCAAATCGGTCATAGTGAATATCGACCGGACTTGCACTCCGTTAGCTTTAAGTACACCAACGCCACCCTGTTCGCGATCGAGAACCACGACTGCGTCGTTCACTCGCAAACCTTCGCTCCTCAGCGTCGTAACGGTTTCTAGTAAACTGCCACCAGATGTCACTACATCCTCGACCACGAGGCACTTCTGGTTCTGCTCGTAGACGCCCTCTAGAATCTTCTTCGTGGCGTACAGCTTGGTTTCCTTTCGTTTCATTATCATCGGCGTGCCTCCCGTGACCGACATGACGGCCGCAAAAGGCAGCGCCGCGTACGGAACCCCGCACAAGATGTCGTGTTCAATACCCGATGATAAGTTTAGGAGGTGCTGCGATACTGCGTTCTGTAAAGCATATTGAATTTATTTTAATGAGAAATTAAGCAGACATGACTGATATTCAGCCTGTTTCAAAGGGATTGTAGGAATTATGAATGATCGTTGTAAATTATAGCTTAACTTTAGCTAATACTAGTATAACTATGTAGGGGCTCTCTCTCGTGGCTGTTTTGTAGTAATAATAATTTAATAATTCTTTCATACACAGTTTTTAGTTTTCTTAAACCGTTTTCGCAGCGTACGCAACGGAAACCTACAGAGATGAAAAATTTCCCCCGTTTTGTTCACATTTCCCACGGTATCTTCGCTTCTATTAGTCACAGCGCGATGTTTTATAGCCTATAGCCTTTCTCGATAAATGATCTAACCAACACAAAAATGATTTTTCAATTCGAACCCGTAGTTCCTAAGATACGCGCGTTCAAACAAACAAACTCCTCAGCTTTATATATTAGTATAGATTACAACTCTCCATAGTTATGGAAATTAAAACTATGGAATGTTACGGGTGTCAGTGTGTAGTTTATCGTATTAAAAATCTCACACCATACTAAATACGTACGTAACGTTCGTCAAGAAACAGTGAGAGTATTTATTAATTTCACAAGTTATCATTTATGAGTATATTATGATAACTTCTGTACCTAATAAAATAAAAGTAATAAATTTATCTTGTGACTAATGAACCGGCTGTTTTAGTTATTGCTTATTAATTACTTATTTGCTATTCAATTTTTTTTTCTAATGTAATATTTACCGTACTTACGTAAATAAGGCACAGGAATGGATAATGCAATTTTAATAGTATTTAGACAAAGCGAATGCAGGAGTGAGAGGACAAATGATTGATGGAAATACCCAGAGTGGCATTCATTGGTGATTAGCAAGATTCGTCATATAAGTTGCTACCCACTACTCGTAATGACTGTAGTACACAGACAAGAAAGTCCCTTGAGTCCTTCCTTTACATAAAACTGTTCACATTATATTAGTTCGAACACAGAATAGTGTATAACGCAATTGCATAATATTTCAAAAGTGATTCATTCGGCATTAAACAAACATCAGGATACCTACTATTAGTAGGCATCATTTGTGTAGCAGTTTTATAGGGAAAATTCCGTTTGAATAAACTGTCATTTTATCCAAAGTATGTAAGTAGACGTAGAATGTATTTAAAGTACTGTAACTAGGCGCACAAAAGATTTTTTTAAATTCATATTTTATAACATAGTGTGGGAAATATTCTTAATTAATTCTTATTGTTTTCATATTCACATAGATATGTATTTTTTATTATTATAATTGATTTTATACATATATGTATATGGGATATATAGGTAGATGTGATTCGATATTTTTAATGGTTTATTAAGGTGACCCGCCGACATTTAGATGGGAGATGCTCACCATCATTCTAGGATGTGAAACAATGACCCGCAGATCAAAGTAGATGGGCGTGTGTCGTCCTAGCTTCGCCTCGATATCACCAAGTCTAACTGCGCCTGCGTCGAACAGCTCCACTGCCAGCTCTTCCAGGCTTCGAGTCATCTTCTGAAAACGAGAATGAGTATCAGTATCTATAGAATGAAGGAGAATGTCTGTCGTGGTTGAGGTCAAACATAGACATTGAAAATTGAATTTATATTATTTTACGTTTTGAACATTTCTTAAAATTCTTGTAGAAATGTATTTATTCTCAATTCGCTACTTATGACCTAAAATAGGCATCCTGTAATTTAACTATTTTGTAATAATACAGTTTATATCACGCGAAGGCTGTTTACTATATTATATGTGATATTATGTAAAACAAATCAATATATTTAAGTTATTCAATAATGGGCAAAGTCCTCCGGTGTAGGATATCATGGAAACTATAATTATGTGAACTGAGAATTAAGATGAAGCAATACACAGTCAAGTAACCGTGACCACGTTATAGGGACGTGCAGTGTTTAGGGGTAAACAAATCTTCGTGAAACTTGGATAACTCCTGCGCAGTCACGACATAAGAGATATTAAACAACTATTTGATTTTCAGTTAGCAGTTAGTAAGTCTGCAGTGGTTACTACAAGGCAAAGTATTTTTTTAGATTATTTAGAGAAGGATAATTATTTTGTACATATTTTTGGATATAATGAACAGCGCACGCAACAGAAACCATGATGATGATCATGATGAGATGAATAATTTTACCGTTTTTTCCATATTTCGCCTGATTTTCTATGGCCTAAAGCCTTCCTCGATAAATGATCCAATCAACATATAAATAATTTTTCAATTAGAACCTGAGCGCGTTCAAACAAACAAACAAACTCTTTGGCTTTATAGTATTAGTATAGATTGGAAATTGTTAAAATTATACGTAATACGTTAAAGACTTATATATTTTTTTGTAACAAGATAACTTATGCAACGTAGTACAGAACCCTACAAGATAAAAGCTCGCGCTTGGCTGTGATACTATTTGACACTGAAATCAATACCACGGATACAATTTTGGTTTAATATGTCACTTTACCTGTCTTATAAGATCAATTCATATTTGACAGTTATTAATTTGGCTAAAAACTATGTTAATTATTACTGACGGCTCGTACAGTTGTATAGAAATGTCAATTTGGTAATCAAAGATAGAGATCCCCTTATTAATCGATCCAGACATAGAGGTATTTAAACCGTCGATAGTTTTTACTTATAAAAATTATACTTTAGATGTGATCTATAAAAAAAAGATACTTGATCGCATTTCTGTCGATGTAATCAACGACCTAGATTTGTAATTTGACAAACAAACACAACCCAATGTTCGAAAAAAAACTATGAACGCATATGAAAATCGAAATGCACCAGTTTTTCAGTGGCAGTCCTCAAGAATTCTTTAAAGCTCATTCTTAACTCACACTTGACCATCTAAGCTTAAACTTAAATAAAACTTTAAACTAAGTATTTCAAACGCGACATATATTGGTTAACCCGTTTTGTATTTATATACTAAACTATAGACAATACTTAGTTTTAATATATCTGCGGCATGCTATCTCGATAAAACTAGATTTAAATATTATGACTTTTAAAAAGGTGCTATGAATTTTAAATTTGCAGATAGTTATCTAAATAATATGACATCATTTTGCATAAACGTTTATTAAAACACCCAATGCTTCATGTTGGATTTGGAATAAAACACACTAAAAATCACTATAAGTATTTCTTTGAAGTTAAACGTAACTTAAAAACTCTAAATGACGTCTCGCCATGCAATTAAAAAATCTAAGTTGTAAAAACTAGCCAAAATTTTATGTCAGAGATCGCCAACTAATATTCGTCAAAAATCCAAAAACTTACGTCAAGCTAGTCCTTGGCCTCATAAAAATGTCCACAATTTTCACGCACTAAATCTCACATTTGAAAATTAACGGCTTTTGTTTTTCAATAGTTTAATTCGGTCACTCGGATTTGTGCGGTCTAGATGCGTCGAGAAACATTAATGTGCTCTCGGGAACCAAAAGTAAACAACCGTTTTATAATATGGTAGAATTAAAGTGACGTGGGGTGACCACTCTTTAATATATAAAATACTATTCTTCTATTCTTTCGTCATCTTACCTTGCTTATTTATATATCACTACCTGTGTCAGCTACTTCGTCCGCGTAGAGGTAGTTATTATAGGTGTCAAAATTTATTGTTGCAAACCTTCTCCTCATCTGTGTAAATTATTGCCGTTACCCAGGATGTCGATCGCGTCCCATCGTTCTTACAAGCTAATCTTAAAAGATAAATATATACTGTGACGGGCATTTTTTATATCATTTAAATGGGAATCATTTTTCATGCATATTTTATGGACTCTTGAACCGTTTTCGCAGCGCACGCAACGGATACTCTCAAAAAGAAATACTTTTCGCCGATTGTTCCACATTTCTGAGAAATGTGGAACAATGAAAGTGGCAATAGGAGCGACGTGAGCCGTCGCTCCTATTGGTTACCGCGTGATATTTTATAGCCAAGAACCTTTCTCGATAAATCTTCTAAGTAGTAGATCCAGTTCCAGTAGTTCCTGCGATTAGCTCGTTCGAACAAACATGGAAAATCTTAAGCATTATAATATTAGTATAGAAAAAAACAAAGTGCTTACACAATGCGCAGACGTATTTTTAACTAAATGTTTGTAATTTTAATAATTATTAAAATGCGTTATTAATTAATACTTAAGCAAATTTAATTATTTTAAATTATTCATGCAAAGTGTAAACGTTCACGCACAATTTTGTCATGCAAGATTTTACTTAATCAATTCCAGATACTTCTGTGCTACAAATGAGAGAATATTTCATAATCGAGGAATGTCTAACATACATATAATATAGAAGTATTGTACTTATCGTCGTCTTTTAGTAATGGTATAAAAAAATTGTCCGAATATATAACAAAATGTGGAGTCCCTACATGTCATATGAAATTACCGAAGTAAGAAACCAGTTACTTAAGACCTCAACATATAACTATATGTTATCTGCTCATAGGATCTATTATGACTAATCACGTCATATAATCTTAAAATATATAGATGTACTTTTTATAGTTATCTGTTAAGTTTTGTTAATGGAATGTTACGCAAGGTTAGAAGAAATCGGAAATCGATAACATTCATTGTCTTTTTTACCTACAGATATTAAATTACATTTTAAGAGGTGAGCTGATTTAAAATTTTTACTTCATTACCAAGTCAATATAGGAAATGTTCTTGGCGATTATATCTTACTCTTTCGCACTGCTTCATATTACTGTTGAGCGAAGAGAAGATATACTTTTGTGTCTGTTGCACTAATAGGTTTTTACATACAAGTATTTCATCAAACTTTCAGCATTTCAATTCAAATAGTATCAACAGAATACTAATATTATTTATAATTCCAATATAAATAAATTCATAGACTATTTTATGCTTTTACGACTATTTTATACTTTTTACTATTTTAAGTTTTGCTTTGACTATTAAATAGATAAGAATACGATGGTTTACGATCAATTATAATCAATACAAATCTGACCGGTTACGTGCTTATCTATAGACTATATTTGTCTATGGATCGTAAGAGATACCACCTTTAAAATAATATTGATCGTAACGTAGTTAGAAAATGAAATTTCTTTATCTATTATCTGTAGTTTCTGGGACGAGTGCCTATAGGTACGTTTATATAAAACACATTTTATGGATTTAAAACGCGAAATTTATTATGTAATTTATCTACATTTTTTTCGGTCCCGTGACCACGACTGCTGTAATGCATCCGAAACGTCGGGCCGTACTTAATAATTTATTTAAAAGTGATTTTCTTACTTGAACCTAACCTTGTTTAAAGAGGCTTTCAACTTTCAAAATGTTCACGTTTTCGTAAATGCAAACGCTGTACTTGGACATACGTTTAAAGATTCAAGTGTGCTTTAAAATCTAAACTAAAAAACCATTTCCAAAAGCTTCCTTCTTTAATTAGAATTTTAGATTAACGTTCTTCCGTCCTCAATTAATTCGGTTGAATGAGCTTTTTATGTGTGATAAAGCTATAAAACGGCTTTAATTAATGTCAGTTAAAAATAACACTGTAACGAATATATTCTCCTTATTTATGTAAAAATAATAATAATACATCTCTTTATTGGCATTCATTTAGTACAATGCAAGAAATGAAGGTAACTACAATAAATTATATAAACGCAAGGGCCGCCAGCATTACTTGCAACAAAGTTATGCGTAAACACGGTAAAATTTGAAAAAAATATATCTAATTAATTATATTATGTACTGTGCTAAACAACAGATATAAAACCACATTACGTTAATTAAATACAAGTTTTCTTATGTCCGAAGACGACTGTTTCATTTGTTCTGGAAGAAGACGAATAATTGATCTACTTTTCTTGTCAAAACTCACTTAAAACCGCAGCGCGTAAAACAAACGGCTCATTTCTCCCTAAATCACAGGAAACTTTGCATTACTGAAATGTATCTTCGGGATGAGTCCCGATGCCTCCGCGATGAGGTCAAAGACATTTTTGGCGCCAAGCCAATGCGTCTAGTCTCCTTTAGAGGTTATATTTTTAACTCTCCATTTCTTTTCGTTTATATGTTAGACGAGATGCTTACACGTATCTTAGATTAACGATCTTAACACACGATTAAAACGTTTACTTTTAAACTGAGTTAAGAATTTGTTAATGCAATGAGTCGGTATATTAATTGGAATAATGTGGGTAGGTTATTTTGGGTTACTCTAGACATGGTATAGGGATGCTGGTATAGTTATACCTAGAGACAACAATTGGATATAGTAAATACATGTGGTTTTATATAGCTTGCTTACCTATAATAAGATACGCCAAAGCGTTTATGTTGTTTTTTATATGCCTATACCATCTAAGATATCTTCATGACTATAATAGAGTAGATTAAAAAGTCTTATTTACAATTACAAATGTTCGAATGCAACATTTCTTCTAAGCTTATACATTATGCGTTAGTTATTCGTGAAAAAAAAACGCCTACGTTTTTTGTTTTAGCAATGTTTGAATCGACGTTAAAAAATAAAAAAATATTATATTAATTACGGTATTACTTTAGTTTAGTTTATTATTATAGAGTAGAGTAAATAAAAATCAATGGTTTACGATGTTAATACATATCAATAAAAAACTTATACCATACTTATCATTGTGAATTTGTTTTCGCTGGCAGTCGGTAATTTGGTTAATAAAAACCGAATAAACAATAAAATGGACGTATGTTCATTTATTAAGGGTAAATTTTTAAACCTTTATGTAATAATCTACTAATTTTTCTTTTTCTAATTCTAAATCTTCTTTTAAGTTGAATAGAAATGTAAAGATATCAAGAAGCTGGGCACCCCTTATCCTCAATTATTTTTTTATGAATTACAATGGGTCAACCAAACTCGTATTATTATTGGCGACCGTCAACTGATTGCCGGCAGCCGGCTAACTTGCGTCTTAAGAATTGTGATGATTCACTTCGGGTGGCCAGATTCTCGATTTTATTTTCAATTACCCACAATTCGTTTTTTTATTTTTTAGTTATTTTAAGAACAGTAAGAACATTAATGTCATACCTCATGCCGCAAAAGATTCTGAATCTAGGTTTTTTATTAATATGGCACTAGGCACGAGAGGTCCTAGAATCATATACCAGGTAAATAAAAGCAAAATAAGCGCCCTTATAAACGATGTTGTTTGTCTGTGCGCTTCCCTAGAAAGTGGCAAATTCGTTCACCGGTCACATTCACACCCCGTGTGGAGCCATTATTCGTTCATTCCCATTCACTCGGGCGACGTTCCGTTCCCTCCAGCGGGCAGCGACTAGACTCCGTCTACATAGTACATTCGAGCATCAGCCGGTCAGTCAGTCGGCTGCGTGGCTGAGTCAAACTTGTAACATTAGTTTAACCTTTAAATAAACACAAAATGAGGGAAATAGTGCATCTGCAAGCGGGACAGTGCGGTAACCAGATCGGTTCAAAGGTAAGAATTATTACTTTCAATTTTTAAATACGCAACGGCTTTTTGCAGGATTAAAGAATAGATATTTTGAAAGTGTCTTGTTTAGAACATATAATCGAGAGATAATAGTTATTTAATTAATGCTACAGGGAAAAGAAAACGTTCTCAAAAATTAAACCGACAATTGCCTTGTATAATGTAAAAAGTACAGTTTTTCGCCACGTTACTAGTTCATGCACGAGTGATATTGTGAATTGTTTTATTATTTGACGACTAAACAAATAGCATTGTGTCAAGTTACGATCGGACGATTTTTGCTATCTCTGTGAAATACAAAGAACTTGTAATAATATTCATTAATACGAGGTGAACACTCTTTTTGATTACTGAGCTAAAACTGGGTAGGCAATTTCAAATTCATGATTTTGAGGCTACTTTAGAAGTAGTGGTTTTATTTGAAAGGAAAGATTGTTACCTTTTTTCAATTATTAGTGCGTGAAATTTTAATAATCTTGTTCACTGTTTTAGTCTAGTCTAGTGTTATAGGAATTACGATATATTCAGGCATTGTTTAACATTTACAGTAGTTATTTATCATTATGGGAATAAATATTTTCTAAATTACAGAACAGTGAATTCGTCATATTTAATTTACAGACGTTTTTACACACTGAGGCATAATTTAAACACTTTGAGCTAGATATAATGATTGTTTCGTGAATAAAAACAAAAAGTTATCATGAAAGTGACTAAATGTACCTTTTCGAAACTTGTAAGTAATAGAAGCGTGATTGTACGCTTTTTAGGTTTTTATTAGAGCACAGAGACACGGCATACTTTCTCGACGAGAGGCAATTTTTCGGTTCAAAACGAGACTAAGTAAAATTTTAGTATTCCTATATATATCTTTAAAAGCTGAAGAATTTTTAAAATGCTTGAGAAAGGGGATGTATTTTTTTCCTCAGAGAAAGAAATGGCGAGACTGATTGTTTAAAAAAAGTAACAAATACAAAACGGATAGTAATAATCGAAAAATGGCTCCTCTATAGCTAGGGCCCAAGTCGTTTTTTCGGGCCCCATTTTTTATTTTTTTTTCCGGGGGAAATTTGGTTTTTTGGGGGGGGGGGGGAAAATAAAATTCCGTCCAGACCACGAAGCACCGTTTACAGATGAAAAATTTCTATTTCTTTCTGAAAAACTTCTAAAGGCAAAATAGGTCGATAGCACATCTTATTGAAATGTAATATTGCCGGGGTATTTCACCTTCCATCAAATGAACCTCACGCGTGTCTGTCCTCTATGATAAAAAAAATATTTTAATCCAATTTTAAGCATAGCAAATGCGGGTATCGTTAGTTCTTCATTAAAGCAGCTCGTTCATGTAGTGTTAGTGATATGTCGAATAATAATTATCATTCAATTCTCTCGTTTCGCTTCCGTAAACCTCGTCTTTTTACTTAAGACTGTCAGTGGCGAATGCTCTCTTTGAAACACAACTATTATAATATTAACTGTATTCAGTGAGAACAGCTGCTTTTACATTCTTTGCTACAGCGATACCGTCCCTTACCGGCACTAATTGCACGAAAGAGGATTTTATAGGTCAATGACACATAGAAACAATTCATGATTAAGTATTTAGCATAACGAAATCCTTACTTAAGTTCTCCACTAAAATAGCATCTAATACATATAATGGTATCCAATAAAAGGCAAGTTTCATACAAGTCGGGACATGTCAATTCGTGAACAGTCCATATTTTGTGACCCCAAATGATAAACCAAGTCTTTGTATTGTTAGAACCACTAAGATTTGCTAGGTGAAGTTATTAAAGAAGTCATTAGCTATTCTATTATAAACTTTTTTCTCACACATAAAAGGAAAGCTTCGCCGTAATTGGCCCCGCGGTTCAAAATTTGATAACTGTCAAGTGACTGCTATTATAAGCGGCCGTTAACGGTTTTTAATGTGCACTAGATTCGTCTTTGAAGTGCTTTCAGTTTTTACTTTTAAAATGGAGATGGACGTTGATTACGTATTTAAAAGCTGCTGTTGTAAGATACAATACAAATAAAAAACAGAGACAGGCCTGACCTTTATTTATTAGTAGATTCAAAGGCGATATAAACCTTAGACTTTGGGAATTCTTAGATACGAAGCAAAAGCAGTTAATAATAATAGGTACAAAGCAATGAAAGCAAATAACATGCCGGTATAGTTGTGAATAACGTACTGTGTAATTTACCTTCCTATGTTCTAGTCTAGTCTTCTCTTCTTATTCTTCTTTCTATTCTTTGCCACTGTCATCCATACTGAATTACCTACGATTTAAAATCTTTTTTTATTTTCTATTATATTTTTGCAAATACAATTCAATAGTTTATCCGGTACTGTAAACTAGTTTCGTACAATAATTTCGATATCAAGCTATGCTTTACTATAGTATAATATAGTGCAACTAGGAAATATCTATTGACTAAGTATTGTATAGATCAGTGAATGTCTGCGTCACGTTTCGCCCTCGAAGCCGGCTGTTTTTTAGAAGTACGGGGAGACCACAAAGAGTGCAACTCGATAGTGAGATTATAGTAAAGCTTTCTTGTTGAGATTCGTAGAAAATTAATGTTCCTCTTGAGGCTATAGCGCTATTGGAAGAATCATTTCGTCTTCGACTTCGTCTGGAAATCAAGATATTAAAAAGATGGAATTTCCGGTCGGATCGCGAACCACCGTCCACAGATGAAAGAGACGTGAAGCTCAATACGGTTTCCGTTGCAGTCTGTAGATTTCCGAATATCTAAAGCCCAAATAGGTCGATAGCGCATCGTGTTTAAATAGAATAGGTTCATCTAATTGGTACATGAGGTAGTTATTATTTGGTTTGGCTGAATGATGATGATGATGAAGATATTTCGTATCGCCTCTCGCCAGTAAGTACCAACGCCTAAGCAACAATAGGGCCCATGATTCACTTGTGGAAGTCTCGGCGCGTGCGTCGAATAAGTCATTGTGGTGATAATGGCGCAGACCGGCCATATTTGATCGTCTGCGACAAATATCCGGCCTTGGAATTGCTCCCAAAACGGGATAACTGACGTCTTAATTTGCAATTGACTCATTACAAGGCTTAATTCGTGCCTGATTTGGATATCTAGATTATTCTATTTAATTACCAAATAGTTTTTGTCCTTAGAAGGAGTACAATAACAAATTTGTGCAGACATATATGCTAGATAGTATTATTAATACCGAAAGTATTATACAGATGAATGTTTGAGTTTTGGACGTTTTAACGGGTTGAAAGACTATTCAACCTTTGTGTGAACATAAAGAAACTATAAATATTACTGGTAATGGTTTAAAACATGAAATGTATTACTTATTTACAATTTATTACGTTACCACCGCTGCTGCAAAGCATCCGAATCGTCTGGTCGTAGGTAAAGTAATTTAAGTTAATATATTTAAATGTGTACTTGCGTAAACTAAAGACATTACTTAAACTGAAAGCAGCGACCGAACTTGCAATTAGTACTATAAATTAACGTATTTATGTACTATAATGATAGATATAAACTGAAATGGGGTAGAAATAGCATTGTTAATCAACTACGGAACATGTGCAATTTATAGCCTATATACTATATAGTATTTAGCCAAATGTTAGGGTTCCTAACCCTTTCGTTCCCAGTTTTTAATCGGAGATCCTTTTGTCTCCAAAACAATGGGAACCCTCCGCAGCTCCCCATAATTGTTGGCGTAAATGTCTTTTTGAACAACTATTTTTTGTGCTTATTGTTTTTAACTTCATTTTATTAAGTATGCCTTTTCTCCTAATTTTTGTGTCGAAAAACCCTTCTCCTCTAGGGCACGGGGCAAACACATTCGCGTGTCTGTATCACTGATAGATTTCATTGGATTGACTTTTACGTATTGTGTTCCCGAGGAGCCACGAATACTAACCGGGCGTTTTGGGCGAGCGCGACAGCGCTCGCCGTGTTTTACGGCTAGACCAAGGGTGCCCCGCAGGGGGGCAACGGCCTCGGCCTTGGACCGCCGCAATGTGCGATTTTACGTGCTAGCAAGGTATTAAAGGAGCCTTGGGATTTGAATTCAAGACCTCTCCTTGCTATCGTAATGCTATTAAACACGTTTTACAATTGAACTACGAAGACACCCAAGTATATTGTATACTTTGCTTTGAAAAAATATGGTTATAAGTGGTAGTATAATAATTCTTAGCCCCAATGAAACTGCAACATACAAAACATATGTGAATATTATCTTTATAAAAGACAAGACGTACTTGTTCCCTCTCAGAGAAACGAAAACCCCCCCCCGCCCCGGGGGGGGGGGGGGGGGGGGGGCCCCCCCCCCCCCCGAAAAAATTTTTTTTTTTTTTTTTTTTTTTTTTAAATTTCCTTAAACCCGTACATTTGTAAACGTCAACCGCTTGTATTTCTGTAAAGGATGCGAGTGATTAATTGTCGACTGACAATAACGTTTTAATTTTATCCTTCAGGATGTTTGCTTCCACGCGATCAATTCACGAAGTTATTGTCCCTAATTTGGGACATGGGGGCACAGGGACACCGGACGCGTCTCTATCGATTGCTGTTTACAAATTGCTATTATGTCAAGAAAGATTGGCTAACAAAAATAATATTAATTAAGATAATGTTTCTTTACTTTTTTCTGTCCAAGTTTTTTTTCTGCCACATTTGGACTTCTGGTAATCCGGATATTAAATGGGTAAAATATTAAAATTCAATCTGTGGATATCCGAATATCCAAAGCTAAAACAGGTCGACATTTAGTTTAGACCTTATGATTGTCTGTTCTCCACAATTACAAAAAATACAGATAAAAGGTAGTGCCTCATTAAAAAGTAACGTTATTTTAGTGAATCAAATGTTCCCAGAACAATGAGCACGTACTGAATCACGCTTCCTATTATTCAGTCATTTCGCGTTTGTTCCTGGGAGTATTCACTTTTGTTTATTCATAGATTAGATAGCCA